ACTAGGGTGGAGGCCGTCGCTACTCGGATGGAGGCCATCGCTACTAGTAACAAGAAGCTACAAGTAGCTACCAGACATGGCTGGCACGTGGTCTTTTCGGTCGGAGAATAACCCAGATTCAGGAGGCTCAATGTCGTTCTCTCTGACCGTTTTGGGCAGCCCAAACATGACCGACCTCTGTTTTGATAGGATAAAATACATATTTGTTTGCGTGGTTGGTGGTCCAAAAACAGAGGTTACGAAAACACGCCAGGTACCTATATGTCCGACCGGGGAGTCCAAGAGCATTCTCAAAATGGTCTCTATACAGGTCTTTCCTTTAGCCTAGGGCTCCAGTCGGAAGTGCACCTAAAAGCTTGTGATTTTAGAATTCAGGATTTAATGCATAATGTGAGGGCTTGCGTTGGCTACAGACCTGTCAGCATCGTGGAAGCTCTTCCCAAGAAACCAGGCGTCCAGGATAGACGGTGCGTCCGGGTCGGACTTCGCTGCAGATGCGGCCGGAAAGCGTGCAACCTTCAGCGTGTCAAAGCCGCGGACTTGGCGATTGGCACCGTGCGAACAGCTCCATCGACGCCAGCAATTCGGCATCCGTAAGGCGCACCCCGCTTGTCCAGCTTGTCCAGCTCGCAATCGGCCCTGCCTTCCAACAAGGCATGCTTCTTTCCGTCATTGGCGTGATCACAGTTGAGAGCTCTGCATGCGGTGAAGGTCACATTCAAGGCCAAAGTCGGAATGATGCTGGCGACCTCGACAAATACCTCCCTTCAGGACTGGTGCAGTCATGGACACGTCCCTTGATGGCCCCCAAACAAAGGACTCCACTTCAGGGATCAACTCCACTGAGTGGTTGTCTACAGTAGGCTCTGGCTGTTGTGCAACTCCGCGTCGGTGGACAACTGCATCATATGCGTTGACCAGCGTCCAGATGATCGCCTTCAATCGCAAGATGGACTCCGGTGCACCGACGAACACTCTTGCTGCGAACATTTCTTTGATAAATGCACCCCGGACGCTGGATCGACTCGATCAGGCGGTTCCTCAGAACCAAGTCTGAATTCGAGAAGGAGAGAAAAGGCAAGAGAATAGGCGGGTTGCGGGTTACCACCATATCGGGCAGGTACCACGCCTCGATGTGCCTTGCGTCCTCGAAGTAATTCACCAAGCAATGGCACACCAGGACTTTGTGATCGATGACTTTGTGCAACTTGTCCATGTGTGCCACTAGGGCACGTTAAGGCTCAGTGACGAGTATCGGAGTTCCCCCCCCATTCGCGTTTAGCGGGCAGCCTTAGATCCTACGTCTGTTTGGCGTGCATGGGATCGCGCTTTTTCCACTGGTGTGGTTGCTGCTTTCTATACTACGGCTCGTGCTTTCTCAGTGGAGAAAGCTTGGCACCGGCGGCTTCGTACGACAAGAAGTCGAGCAAGGAGGAGGTGGCTGTTTGTGGGTGGGAACAGATCCAGGAAGCAAGCCCAAAGGGATTTCCACAAGCTGTTCTTTCACCACGGGTCACGTCCCTCGAAGTTCTTGTTCAGAGCTGCAAAGATGTGGCAGTGTGCATACTGCCAGGTGATGAATGCAGAAAAAGCAGTCCGGTGCGAGAGCTGCCGTGGTTGGTGGGAGGAATGCTGGATAGACACATCGGGGAAGACATTCAAGGAGAGACAAGAAGGCCATGGACAAAGATCCAATGCGTCCTTTTGGAGTTGGATGCCTTGGCCAGCAACAACTCCAGGCAGAAGGATTGCATCCCTGCGAGCCGAGCAAACCACCGAAGGCGAGGGAGGCAGCTATCTTGGAGTGGCAAAGGTGAAGCAGCAGCTGGAAGCTCTCAAGTTAGCTTTGGGAGATACAGCATCAGAAGAAGAAAGAGTTAGACCAATCCTTGCCTTGCGAAGAAGCCGAAAAGTGCGAGGAAGCAGAGTCTCTGAATCCCTCGCACCTTTACAAGCTCCTAAATGCAAAAAAGCAAATGGAGCGGGCAAAGAGCAAGGTCCACGAGCTCGACAATGCATGGAAGAAGTTCCAGACAGTTGTCGCAGCAAGAATACAGGAACAGCAGAAGTCGTATCAAGAGCAGAGATCGGAAGCTCTTCAAACATATCAAGCCAAAGTTCCCAAGTTACAAGAAGCAGAAAGAGAACTAAAGTCCAAGACTACGGAAGCTGGTGCACTGTCTCTCGAGGACGAAGCATCAAACGAAGTGTTGCAAGAAATGTTGAAGCAAGCTGCCGATGCTATGCCATCAGGAGAAGCCATGGAAGACGACAAGGAAAGCAAGGTCGAGTTTCCAGCGGACCTCAAACCCTTCCGTCGTTTTGCCAACAAGCTCGCCCAAAAGGAAGCTGGAAGATCCAGAGCACAAAGAGTCCAAAGCGAAGAAATGATGTTTCTCGCGAAAGGCGCCACTTGAGGCCGACTGCAATGGGGCGGATGACAGGCTGACAGGATGAATTCTCCTTTGGGCAGAGGAGATCATCTGTGTATGAGGTAGGTGGTTGCTCTCAGGTGAGCGGAACACCTATCAGTTTGAGCAGTTCGACTCGCATCCAGCATTGCAATGGTTTTTGCTTTTGTAGCTGTGATATGCTGTGATAGAGTTTGGGGACCTGTTCAATGGGCAGAAAAGCAGTGGCTGGACCTTCAGTTGGATTGGTCTGAATTGTCTTTAGACCAAGATGGCTTGAAGGTTTTTCCATATGAAGACGCCAGTCCTTCGACAGCTTTTGTAGGTGCCGGGTGGAGCCTGGTGCACGCAAGGCTTTCGATAGGGTTGTTGTAAGTCAGATTGAGCATTCGTCCTTCGACTTAGGGAGGCTTCACTTTTTGAGCTCTCATTTTGGTTGGCTCGAAATGTCCTCCACGCATCCTCGCTGGAAGATGTTGCTTCGGCAATCCTCCGCTATTCATGAAGAAGTCTGGACTAAGGTGCAATGCTCCGAGCTTGGTAACCCTGATGTTCATGGAAATGTTGGGATTGCTCGGATCGGGCAGTGTGATTCTTCGATTGTATTGCAGGGATCGTAAGCAAGATGGTAAGAAAGATTGGTCAGTCGCCTGGTACGATGTCCATGCAAGAAGAGGAAGCTGCTTAAAGTTCAAGGGGTAAAACATACCGCCGTGATTCGTGTGCGTAGTGTCAAGGTCCCCAAAAAGGCATGTCATCTTTTACCTGCTTGTGTTTGACATCCTTCCGGCCAGTAGTGCAAAGCCAGGTGAACAGCAAAAATGGGCTCAACCTGATGCTAAGGATGACGTTGAACCGCGGGTGCAAATGGCACATCATGCCGTATGGGCCAGCAGCATGGCGGCTTGTGCTGCCAACTATTCAAATGATGTTCATATTCGTGTCTATGGCCCTGACACGACCCTTCACTTGCGCGGCAGTCGGGATGAGTTGATGACTTAGATTGGATTCAGCGGCAGGAAATTCAGCAGTTAGGACATGGTGTCTTGTTTCCGGTGATACCGCAGCCATTTTGTATTGTGCGTTGTGTTGTGTTCCAACCGGAACAAGAAGCAAGAGCTGCTGTTCTTACCGGCGAAAGTCAATCGTTGGAGTATAGACTTGTTCCGCATGCTGCAAGGTCTGCTGGCTCCTCAGCTTTCTGGGGACGAATGTCCCAAATTCGGTTCTTGGATTCCTGACTGGACCTCTGGGGATCAGGTCGGAGATCATGATAGGTTGAGTCTTGTGCAGCATCCTGGAGGGTTCTGTGTTGGTGAGTTCGTGGAGCAAGCAGCTAGGCAGTCACGACACTGGTGCTGCCAGAATCTGGTTTCATCACCGAGTGTGCATGCATTCAAGAGCTTCTCCAGATTTGCATGCATTCCAGTTGGTAAATGTCCAGCAGTATTGGTCCAACTTTTATCCCCCAAAAGCTCGCGATCGCTGACGACGTGGCTGTCTGTATGTGCGCACCATGCAATGTGGGCCCGTCTCAAAAAGGATCAAAAAGGATATGTCAACTTTCATCCCCCAGCCCAAACCTCCCGAACGAAACACCGACCCAAACGAGGTCCAGTCCGTCCGCCAGTCCCGACGTGTCGCTCCACCGGGCGTCCGCACGTCCGCAGGTCGCTGGCGCTGGGTGGTCCGCCACTGCTTGCCTCCAAGGGCCTGGCTGAGGGGAAAGGAAAAGGAGGGCGGAAGGGCGCCCCTTCTGGGCAACTGCAACGTCAGCTTGTTTGGGGCATGAACATTTTTGGACTTGTCTTCCACCCTGTGGAAGGATTTGCCTGACGTCTTCGGCATGAAGGAATCGGACAAACACATATCCACATCGCATCAAACACATGCAAAACACACCACACCTTCAGTCCCCCATACCACTCCCGACCAGTCCCACCGAACCGAACCGTTCGAAGCGGGGCGCGGTGGGAGCCACCTCTGCCAGCCGCGTGGGAGCGCTGCTCCGGTCTGATCGCACTGGAGGCTTCGGAGGCCTTGAGGATCGCGGGAGCGGGGACGACAGACCCGGTGGGTGAGAGCTGAGAAGTGAATCCAGACTGAAGAAAGACATCTGGCGCCAGTGAATCACTGAAGAAAGACACGTGTATATCATAGTCTTAGTACAATTGATGTACAATTATGCACACCAGGACCTTCCCAGTGACCTTTTGAGATCACAGTGGCTGAGATCACTTAGGACTTGAACAGGTCACTTAAGGTTGTGTAAAACCCCCTCTACCTTTCCCTATACCACTTTTGAAGTTATCCTGGTTTTCATCCTTATCGTCTTACAGCACTTTGACTGACTGCAACAAATTGTAGTATAATGTAGTGTGTGTGCACTACATGCATGTGGTGTGTGGAACCTTGCAGGCATGAAGACATTAGGCACACTTCATTCCAACTACACCCACGTGGTGGCCTGCCTACGGAAAGGTGTTTTAGAATTCGCTGTGTTATCGTTTTTGTTGTCGTTTTGTTATCGTTTCCATGCCTGGTGCAAGTTGGAAAACTATGTGGCACAACAATGCTGTAGCACAAGGCTACAGCGGTCCAAGCCCTCCCACCTCTGTCCAAGCACATACCCACCAAAAGCTGCCATGCATTGACCCTGACAATTTGGAAGAGTAGTAGGTTTTTTGCTTGTGTGTGTGCATGCGTTTTCTTCACACCACTTCTCGCATGTCAAGACAAGAGTCATCGGGGATTATCGGTTTTTTTTACGTATCGTTATGTATCGTTCTATAGGGGATTGAGCATGCTTATATACATACAAATGGACATGCAAATACTAATTTATTCCATGGTTTCTTTTTTAAAATACTCTCTCGCTGGGAAGGTCCTAGCATTTATTACATTATTATATGACTGATAGTATATATCATTATATATATATATTTATATTATATCATACATATATCATTATATCTCATATATTATGATTGTATATATATATATGTAAGATAGAGAGGACATCTAATAGCGATGGCCTCCAACCTAAGAGGAATGGCCTCCACCCTACTAGCGATGGCCTCCAACCTAAGATAGAGAGGAATAACGTCCAGCAATACCGACCTGAAGCGCTTTATCTTCATTTGCATAGTAGACTTGAATGAAACCCTTGCAAATTGAGTGAGTTCCCCTGCCAATCCTCCTGTCGATGAAAGCGATGACAAGCCCAAAAACCCCAATCACTCACCGTCCCGTCCTGCCAACAAACCGCGGCGCAAACGAGCTCGTGACCGTGGAGCCTCCAGAGGTTTCTGTTGGCCCCGAATTGGCATGGTTGCATGTAAAAGAATGCATTCTGGATCTCTCAAGGCAAATGAACCGCGAAAACATGTTCCAGTGAACAACTTTTGACGTGTATTTCAATGAACAAAGTCCTTGGGAAAATCCGACGTGATATCTGGCTGATTATCTCTGACGTGCTCCACAGGGGGGGAGCATGGCAGGTCGGGATAGGAAGCAATTGTTCAAAGGCTTGCGAGAAACAACCGGCTAGGACTGCGTTTCAGGAACCGATGGGTTCCTCTCCGGGTTCATGGTTGGATGAGTGGGTTCTGTCGATGTCGGCTGTCCATACTGCCACATAGACCGGCCACGGTGGCTGGCCCCTGGGGCATGACCGGTTCTCACGGACACTGGCCCGGTTGTGCGGGTGATGTGCCGGACAGGAAGCGACTCGTCACAAATCTCTGAACTAACATCGTACTCAATATATACTCGGAACGAACGTTGATGTTCGGAACATGGATGAAGTTTCACCTGTTGGAAGAGCCTTTTGCTCTAGCAACAGGAGGACCCCTTCCACTTCCATGTCTCTCTCTCTCTCTCTCCCTCTCCCTCCCTCGCGCCAGCGGTTTCGGCCCGACTCAGCGCACCAGACTCTCTGGGTCGCCCAGGAGCTTGGCCAAGGATCCAACCAAGCTGGCCTTTGAGTGGTGTGGTGTGGGAGTTGTGGGAGTTGTGGGACTGGCCACATGCAAAACGTTGAAGCAGTCGCGTGAGTGGTTCCGTTTTCTGGTTGAGCGCACCAGTTGCGCACCGTCGTCGGTTTGACCGAAGGTCAAATGGACGAGGTGATGGGGACCTTGAAGACGAAAAACGACACCCATTGGGTGTGAAACACCTTGTGAAACGCCCTTGAATCCGTTGATGAGTGGTTTGGGGAGAAGAGTATTTGGAGTTTATAAGTCTTCAGATTTCGACCAAAAAAACCACCCAGATGTTTCGACCCATTCCCATCCTATCAGATTCTCATTAAAACTTTCAAACCTGCCCAAACGGTGACCAAACATCCTTACCCCTCCGAGCCGAACAAACGCCGTCTGCTGTCTGCCGTCTGCCGCTGTGGGTCCAGGCCAGTTCTTCTGCTGGGAGCGTCCATAGGAGCGCACCTGGGGCCCACCGGGATTCCGTCCAGTTGTACGACCCTCCAGGTACGACTCGGTACGACTGGACGCTTTGGCGAGAAAAAATTGCTACGACGGAAACCGCTAACGAAGCCAAACACATCACAGGGAAGTGGTTGCATGGATTTGTATGATTTGCTCTGAACAGGGTGGACTTCCACTTCCATGTTAGAGAGTCGGAGCATAGATTCTGACATGTTCTCCACTGAGCATGAGCAGCGAGAAGTGTGCTTCCTCCTAGATTCTTAGATGAGTTGAGATCTTATGTGCTCATTCTCTTGTGACATGTTCCATTTCGGGCGTTTGCGGGTCAAGTGAAAGACGGTAGCAGTTCAGGAACTCAGTGGCACGCTTACACCGTTCATCAATCGGTCTTAACCACTTTGGGTGCACATGTATTTCAATCTATTCATGTGGCATGTGACCCCTTCCAAACATCAACCCCCCGCTCCAACCCGCCAAAACGGCGGAGGCAAACAAAAGAATGGCCCAGCAGATGCAAAAGCCATGGCCACGGCCCTTGGGTTTCCTTCTTTTGGTCGTGCATTCGTGCTCCTTCTTGGATCGAAGGAAACTGAAAGGAAACCGAAGGACAGGAAGACATGATGTTTTGCCAGAGATGGGCCCAGAGATGGGCGGCAGCACTTTGGTGTGTTCATGTTGGTGTTGTCCAAGCATTCCGTGAATGACCATTCCGTGATGGTTGAGAGGCAGCACTTTTCAATCCCAGGTGAGAAGAGAATACTTTTTGGGGGGTATTCTTCTTTATTTATTCGTGATTGTACTTTACTCATGTTTTATTGTCCCAGCAGGCTAGTTGACCTACTAGTGGACTTGAGGGCCTCTCCCAGCCTTACATAATATCACCCAGCACACATGCTTGAGCTTCAGGTCAAAACATTGAGCGTCCTCTAAAAAAGAGCAGTGGCCAGCTTGCCGGGCATGACGCGTTTGCAGTTCAGATGATGTTAATCAAAACATGAGTTCCCAGCCCTAAAAATATCCCAGCCCTTCCAGACCTCTGAGAAAAGAAACCACATACCGTTACATTGACATACCTATACCCCATCTCTTGGGCGAGTCCCCCCAAAAACGATGGACCGATGGTGTCCGTCCCCGGATGGCCGAAACCTCTCCTCCGCCATCGCCCGAATAACCTCTGGAGAAACTTCCTAGTGTCAAGAAGCTCCTGGCATCGCGACCAGGAACAAGGATGCTACGAACGGGGCTCCTGGCCTTACTAGTAGCGTCCTTGCTCCTCGCGGATCCGCCCGCGCCCGCGTTTCTCCAAGAGGCGTCCATCCGCTCCAATCCACAGCAACTCCTTCAGCCTCGGCGATTGTGCCGTGGGGTCATGGACGCTCGGATGTGCTGGACAATATTGTTGCCGGTCAAGGAAGTGGGGATAAACTGGGATGAACAAGTGAACAAGAGAGCTTTCATAGGGAATTATGATGTTTGACAGCTTGTTGAGAGATCAACGATTCCATATTTTGACAGGCTCGAAAGAGGCAAGGACTTTTGAGTGCCACCCTGCACAGCAAGATGAACACTTTTCTCTTTGAGGCCAGTACAGATACTTAGTTTAAGACACTTCTGGAAAAAAAGAAACCAAACACAATAGACTGAGACTGTATACAGTATCCTTGTCCGTTTTTATTTTTCCAATTTTCAAGGGATGGACCTCCTCTGCCTACCACTTCGGGGCTCCCGTCGCCGAACTGGTTTATCCTTCACGTTCGGAACCGTGCATCGGTTCGTGCACCATCGGTGAACATCGGTTGAATCGCCCGAACGAACAGATAGGGTTTGGTTCAGGCGACCCCTCCTGTTTGGTTCGAGCCAAGCTAGGATTCTTACGGTAAGAACTTCTGAACCTCGGGTTGACAACAAGGAGGTGACATGAGCTCGCACAAAGCATAGCATTTGCATGCATTTGCATCACGGATCCTTTCGAGGATTGTTCGGTGAATCGGATCATTCAGTGAATTCGCTGCGGTTGAAGGCTGAAAACCGTCCACGGGTGTCCCGTCCCACCGAGCTGCTGTGCATTCACCACGTTCCTCAAGCGGCCTCAGAGGAGAGCGCGACTGGTCGAGTTGACGCGACCCGTGGTTTGGATGCGAACGGATGGCCATGCGAACGGTTGAAGGACACACAGACTAGCTTATAGAGAGTGTCATAGTTTGAATGAGTAATGCAGAATGCTCAAAGTGAACAATGCCATATCTGTTTCCAAACTGTTACGTAGGACGGGTCAAATAGGCATCGCTCGTCAGGCTCTTAGGTTGGAGGCTGAACCAAAGCACAGGAACCCACGAGTTCCAAACAAACAGCAACCCGTCAAGTACTGTACTTTTAGTAGGGGAAGATATCGCCGGCCAATTCATCCGAACCATGTGGCAACCCAGGGGGCTTGCAGTAAGCTGCACACCCCCTGCCACACTCAATCCCAATCCAACCGTGTGGCCAGATCAATGTTATATGTTTTTAGGGTGCCCGAAAGGCTACTCACCCATGCGAAAACAGGTTCGCCTGAATCAAACCCAAACTTTATACAGGGACCTGCCGTGGAACTCTGCAAACGACGCCCATTTGATTACTTGCAATGCAAAACCATGTTCCTTCCACCGTCATGATCATGCTGAGTCATCTCAGAGGTCATGAGAATTCGGGACGCACTGAGCGACGCCCGTGAACCGACTCGCAACGTCATTCAGCGTACGCCCAGCCCCAAAAGCGGGTACGTACCTCACCAGAAAATACAACACCTTCTCCTTGGTGCCAACTCCGAAGGTTCCAAGTGAGAGGGCCGTTTCCTGGCACGTCTTCCTATTTTCCATACCCAGGACGCACGCTGCGCACGGTGCGCACCTCGACCGGACCGACCTCGTCCGTCCGACCAGTATAGGTCCCGTCCATCGACCCGTCCGCGCCTGCATCGTCACAGGTCGTCGCCGCCAGTTGCAGATAGGATAAGAAGCTCCGTGGCCTCACGTTAACGCGACGGTCGCGGGCGCGGTTGCCTGGCTGAACGTAAGAAGAGCGAAGGGCCACAGAGAATGAGGACACTCAAATCTAATCCGTAGTGCCCAAAAGGCTGCGAAAAGCACCAGCCTCACTGTCTGATGCGTGAAATCCGCGTGAAGGACCATGTTTATGCATGAAACGCTGTGCTTAGGCGTGAAAGGCGCGTGAAATACCTGACCTTAGTTCAGTGCAATTTGCAATAATTCTTTTGGACAAATTGGAAGGACATATTGGGCCTGAGCTGAAGCTCCTGAGTGTAATGGCCGATGCTCACTTCGATGTAAAAGGCAAAGGAACATGAAGGAACGACAACCGACGCGTAGAAACGAGAACAATCATGGTGCTCGACATCACATGGTCTTTGCGACTAAGTCGTATACTTCGTCTCTCACAGATGTATGAGCTAAACTTGGCTGTTGGAATCCGGTATAGCTTCCCAGCGACTCGCGACCTTCTGAGATCCCGGTGGCTGAGGTCACTTACTGTAGGTCTTGAAAAGGTCACTGGGAAGGTCCTGGTAGCCATATGTCATATAAATTGTTATATATTATATATAGACTTTCCAAGGGGTGTCCTGGATTAAGATCCATAAGTCGTGTAGGGTCCCATCTCTTGGTGGCCCATTAGTGATCCAGGTATAATATCTGTACCAGCACCCTCCAACAGGTGTTTCCTGGTGACAACAGGTGTCCAGAAACCACCTGGCTATAGCGTCTCCAAACAGCCTGTTGGAGGCTCCTGGTCGTACATTCAAATCGATCTGTGGATGGGTGCTATCTACTACTTTGAATTTGGCGTCTTCTTTCGCAAGAAGGTTTTCCAGCGCCATGCGCGCAACCCGTGCTCCTTCGGCTTCCTCCGCGCTCCGGCGCGATGTTCGGCTTCCGTCGGGCCCCCGGCAAGGCTCGCGGTGAGCTCCGGCGCAGAAATGCCACCAGCGTCGATTGGCTCAGCAAGGCCTCCCGTGGCGTGGCGTCGATTGGTCCGGTTCTTCGGTTTGGAAAGTCCGTGCATGAAGGATCCAAACGCTAGTAGTAACAAGCGCCACGCTAGTAGTAACAAGTGCCTTACTAGTAGTAACAAGAAGCTATTAATTGATTTATTTCAAAGAGTTCAGTTTTCCGGCTCCACATACCTTCGTTTCGTTGAAGGCGGGACTGGGGTGCCAGGACGACTGGAGGGCCGAAGAGGCCGGGGCTAATGATTTGCTTCAGTTTTGGGGGAGCAACAGGACATCTCCACGGCAGAAATGTTCACCATCCTGGGGTCAAAGGTTTGGGTCTCTCGCAGGACACCTTTGGACTGACTGGTGTAATCATTGGTGATTCTTCAGCAGACCGACAATGGGAGCATCAATGTACATCGAACACACTTCCGTTTTTCCCTGACGTTCTTATGTTCTGTCCTCCAGGACAGCGATGCAACCAGAAAGCTTGCTCAGCAAATCAAACATCCTGAGACATCTCATGTTTTGCAAGATCAATCAAATCGCATGTTTTTTTTCACGTCATCTTCGTCATCTTCACATGACCGTTGCCGCAGCAGTTGCTCACAGCCGTTGTGCCAGTGCGGCGTCGTTCGCTTCCTTCGAGTGCTTCTCGCAGGTCCAGGAAGGCACAGGCTCTTCGGCCTGCAACGGCGGACCGGAAGAACCGAACGGGTGTCCGGTGGATGGACATCATATCCCAGACACGACCGCCATCTGGGACTGCCAGGCTGGACTGCCGATCAAGCCAGACCCCCCAGTCCACCACCCTGGCCGTTTCTCGGCAGTCCGTCCTGGCAGTCCCAGATGGCGGTCGTGTCTGGGTGTTGTTTTCAACGTCGACTCGACGCCTTGCTCGCGTTGTCCAGGACACCACGCCACTCTGAACCGAATCTCTGCTGTAAAGCGTCCTCCACCTTTTCGCTGCGCTGCGAACGTCACAGGGAAGGAACGAAACACACGAAGGCAGCAGCCGACCGAAATACCCTACAGCCCGACCGTCTTTTTTATGAATGTGATGTCAAGTCTTCAAACATCATCATCAACCCTATACACATATATACACATATCCCACACAACACAGCCCACACATCTCACAATTCACAAAAAGAACAGAACACGGGAGAACCCAAAGAGCTTAAGTCATGGTTCTTCGTGTCACCTTCGTTGATCACGTCTTCACATCGTCGTTTTTTTCTCAAAAACCTCGTCTAACCTCACCTGGGAGACCTGTCCCAGCAAGAGCTCATCGAGCACGTGGGCGAACTCCTTCCGCTTGGTCTCCGGAAGATTGGGGTGTCGGTAGTGATTCACCGAGCCCTCCTGCACCGAGACCGAGACATTGGTGCCTTCACCTCGGGTCTTCTTCGTCGCCGCGTGACTCGCCGCGTGACTCGCCGCGGTGTCCGTGAAAATCGGCTCGGTAGACCGGCAGACTGGTGATTTGGGTGGTGGAACCGAGCAGCTAAGAGCGGGGAGAGACTCTCAGGTCGACGGCATTTTTGTCAGGATGGGACATTGCTAAAAGAAACGAAAAGCCATGGCCTCCAACCTAAGAGCGATGCCCTCCAACCTTCGCCCGCCAGGGCGGGCGTCCCGAACCGCGCACGGTCTCCGCGCTCGCTCTGAAGGACGGGTGACCCCAAAGGACCTGGTGAATGCCCACCTCCTGCACCGACGAGGTCTGCACCGCATATTTGCTCCACTCGCTCTCAGGCTCAAAAGCTCGATGCATCGAAGAGATCTCCAAAAAGCCCGGCGAGGCGCGGGCGAAGCGGAACTTCGTGAAGGAGATGGCCTTGACCTGAGAGGCCGTGAAATCAACACAATGGCCCTTTCTTTAAAGCCGCGTTCCAACAAATGGGTCTGAAGTGAAGCGGAAACACAACCTGCGACAATTTACGGATACACTTGTTCTTTAGAGGGTTCACACACTACTGGCGATTCAAACATTCTGAGATTCTCATAATTTGATATTTTGTGGACTCCTATTTGTTCCTCCCTTTCTTGGACCCTGCCTTTTGACCAGGCATGTACTTCTCGACCTGTTCATCCAAAAAGCTGGCGATGTTCTGACTCTGCTGACTTGCGTCAGGGACCACTCGGAGGTTCAGGTACTCATCCACATCCAAACTTGGGAAGAGCCACTTGGTGTGGCCTTTAGCACCTGAGCACTGCTGAGCATGCATGTTTCACGACACTCTGCTCTTTTGCAAACTTTTTCATGCACGTTTCTCTTCGTGCAACAGTGTTACGTATCACAGGGCATCACTGTGTAATTAGACCTTAAAAAATGTTCATGGCTTTGGACCGGACAGGACAATCTGTATAATTTCAATTAACTTCATATTGCTTTATGGATTCCGCATGGTGTCGCTCTGCGTTTCACATCACTCGATTTATCCGTGGCACGGTACAGGCAGTCGTTCATCATCAAGGTCTGCTGCATGTTGGACTTCCAGATGCTCCAACACTTCTCGGCCGGCGCTTGGAAGTGAACGCGGGTCACGACGCCCGCCTCGACGTAGGGCTGGTAGAGGCTTCGGAGCGCAGGAGACATGTCACTGGTGGTGTAGATGATGAAGTGATCCAGGCCATGCAGCCGATGGAAGTCAAGCCATTGTGGGAGGTTTTGCAAACCCGACACATTGCTTTTCGGATCATTCCAAACATTTCGAACGCAAGCCACCGTCCTGTAGTCTGTCAACAACTTGGGTGTGTAGCTTGCATTGAGCTGTCCTAGAAACTTCTGATTGGCATCCTCCAAAAGTACCGTGTATGTCCCAATGTCTGCCTCCTCCTCAGGCCAATCGCAAAGAAGAATGATAAAAAACTTCTTCTCATCGTAGGCAGCCAGCCGCACAGGGACTCGATGGGAAGCATCTGGACCCATGCAAAACAACGATTCGTGCTTGAGATATTTCTTGAGGTGCTTGTCATACCGATGAATGAGTGCAATGTAGTTGCTGCCCGGGCCGAAATTGGGCACCACGCTGAGAAACTCCAAGGTGATGTTTTTGCCATTGTATGTCAAGGTCGATCCGCCCAAAGTGATGCGAGAGACATTGGCGATGTCTCGTTCGGTGCGCCAGGTCTCCAACGGAACTACTCCGCGGCCTGGACTAGCAGTGCTTCGATCGTGGACTTGGATCAAAGCACTCGCATCGGCAAAAGCAGCGGTCTTTTTTTCGGACAAAACCAGCTCAAGTGCAACAAAAACGATCGCTGCAGTTAGAGCTCGCAGGGTGAAAGGCCGCATCCCCACATGGAAAATTCGGGTAACGGCTACGAGCCAAAACGCCCCAAAACAGCGCCCGGTATGGATCTGATTGCGGCCGAGAAAAGGCATGGAAAAGGTTGAACTTGGCAGAACCATGTCTATCCCAGACGCGACCCGGGACCCGAACCTATGCAGGGGTCGGACCCGAATCCTCTGGAGGGGTCTGGACTCTCAAAACCCTATGGTTTTGAGGGACCCAAGGGCTGTTTGGAGCGTCTGGGATAAACATATTTAGCCACTTGTAAACCTTGTAAAACACGTGCAAAAGGCATGGAAAAGGTTGTAACCTATTGCAATCACGTGTAACCTTCCACAGCTAAACCTTGTAATCAACTCCAAGAAACCCTCAATGCTGACAGCCCTCAGCACAACACGGCCTTGCGCCGGTGCCCCACAATTGTTCACGCCACACGTCCAACCGTCGGCTTTTGAAGGATCGGTCGGACCAGGCCTGTGTTTCAGCGGTGCTTCTGGACCGAAACCGCGTCGTCGCCAAGGTATTTTTGGCCCTTGCACCATCCAATCATATCCAACCGGATTTGGGCGCATGCAGAGATTCGTCTACCCTGGTCCACACTGCGTCTGTGCGTCTTTTGTTGTCAAAAGACATGGTTGTTCTCATTTTCAGCCAATGACTTTGGAGAACCATCCCAGATAAGTTTAAGTAAGTGAAATGGCGGAAGGATCAATGAAGCTCACACCAAGCGCCAAGCGTGTTTGACCTATCCATTGGGCGGACTCATCTCGGTTCGGTTCAACACTTCCGCAGCGTAAAGAACCGAAAGACGCACATCGGGGTCACATGTCGGGGTGATGTTTGGTCCCATCCAGTGGATGTGACGACGGGGCACCCCGACATGGCTCCGTTCGTTCGGCACCCCGTCTTGACTCCTGGACAGCCTAAAGAAGCGTTCATTCTGGACTTAGACCACTTTCATGGGTCACCAGGCTGGAAGCCCCACTACCTAGGGATCTCCAGCCAGGACACCCCTTTGAAGCTCGGACTTCTTCAGGATTGCAGGCTCCGAGCCCGCCCGCCTGTCTGAGCCGTCTCCCTCTCCGCACTCCCTCGGTCTCTGACGTGAAAAGGCTCCTTTCGTTCCTTTCGTCCCGCTTCGGATCCTTTTTTTCGCACCGACCTCGAAACCTAAGGGAGGTTGAAGAGCCCAGGATGTGGCCCATCCCATTGTTTTGTACCACTATAGCAGGGTCCTAGTTCTGGTCTCTCAACCTCTCTTGGAACAGAACGCCGATCGTTTCGGGGTCGACCGCCTCCAGAGCCTCGAAGAGCCGCGGGCTCCGACGGTCCAACGCGCTGGCCAGGCGGCTCAAGGCCACCAGCGTCCTGTGGGAGCGATCGGACGCTACGCACGGGGCGAAACTGGCATTACTATAGGAGCAAATAGGTTACTAGATGTTACTAGTAGCAAGGAAACTTTTAGATGGAGGCCATCGCTACTAGGTTGGAGGCGATCGCAAGTAGGTTTCAGGGTTGCCCCGTCCATGTCACCGTGATGATTTCAGTTTTCATACCTCCCCCGAGGCATCAAGTCGTTGGGTGTCCAAACCCGAGCGACTTGCAGCGACACGAGGTGATGAAAAACTATGAAGGGACTGCCACCGTGTTTGCTCCTGGGGCAAATCCTTTTGGGTCGCATTTTTATTGGGCCCTTTTTCTGGTCTCAGCTTTCACCCCTGTCACAGCTTCACCTTCGCCACGGGCGGCGGCACCCGTGCCTCTGTCTCTCCAAAGGGCTGGTCTTCTCCAGATTTGCAACCTTTGCACTGTAGTCGCCTCTCGCCGAAGCACTTGCTGGCTTAGTGCTTCTTAGCGCAGCACGAGCGGCAAAACGCATGCCCGGACTTTGTAGCTGGAGTGTTGAGGTTTGATTGTCATTGTAACATGTCACAACTTATCTCTTACCAAGTATTGTTCTCATCTCGAACGCTGACAGTAGGTCAGGCTGGTCTCACATCCGCCGGGGTTTCCCGCCTAACTGCTGCAAAAGCTCCTCTGCACCTGTGGGATGCGCGGGAGTCCAGAAGGAGGCTCAGCTTACGATGAAAAACGGCAGGGGCATTGAAAGAACGCATGCCACAAAGCGCCTGCCCCAAAACATCCAACAAAAACCATCAAGCACCTGCAGATACCAGCAGCCTGTGAGTGCTCTCTTCTGCATCTAAGACAAGCACGACGGGCTGTACTGATATGAGACCGCTGTGGATCTCTTCGAACTCACAAACCGATTTGGATTGCTCTCACCCATTTGTATATCATTTATAACAATATGTGTGTGTATATTAAAATTTAGGTAGACTGGTAGACCTCCCAAAGACCTCCTGGAAGAGGGGAAGTAAACCAAAACCCATATTGGTTGTGGGTCACCCTATTAAAATACCCGCCGATATGTTCCCACGATATCCTGCGAAGCGCGGTGATGGTTTACATGCCCCCGACACGTTCAAACATGCTCAAAGCGAATATGTACGGAAACTCCAATGGTCCAATGGCAAGCCAGGGTCCAACAGGCCCTCACAACGCCCTTTATACATTTCTGGGGTTGGAGAAAGCTAGCCATTATTTTGGCATATTTACCAGCGTTTGGTGATTTCAGGGGTGAATGTAAGCATTGTTGTAGGCAGTCCCATTAGTCCATCTTTTTCTGCATGATCTTCAGCCTCATATACATATATATATATATATTTTCAGACACAATCCATGTATATATTATATATATAAGTATTTATAGTATTTATATATCTTCTGCCCCCAAACTGGGCATGGACTAGTCCCCGGCCCCCCCGACCGGACCTGGTAGGCCCAAAGTGGCCCCACCCAACGTCCTGGCCAAGACCTGCGGCCGGACGCATTTCCCCATCCGTTGGGTGCCTTTCCTTTTCTTTCGGGAACAAAAGGCCGAAGACTTGTCCGGAAAAAGCGGTCACAACTGATGTCGGAACACATCTCAGAAGGGTCAGGTCGCGAACAGCTTTTTGAGGTCTTCGAAAGTGGCGTCCGCTTCCATGTCCGCTTCACAAGAAAACCGTCAAGAGCTGAAACCTTGAGATCTGATTCTTGCGCAATCTTTTTCCCAAGCAGGATGCTGTTAGGGGATCTCAAAGCTTTCTAAGAGTGTCCGCCTTGCTGCGGGGCAGTGTGTCCGCCTTCCGTCCGGCTTGTCTCCCTTTGTCTCCCTTCTTGTTGGTCACTGTGTCCACATTGTCTCCCTTCCGTGTCCTTTTGTCTCCGGTCTTGTCTTGTCTCTCTTCTGTCTCCCTTTGTCTCCGGTCTTGTCCCCCTTGTCTCCCTTCT